ACACACCCACACGCACACCCACACCGACACCCACACCCACCCACACCGACACCCACACCCACATCCACACCCAACAATAAATTTCGCTCTCAAACGAGGGATGGTCTTGAAAAATATGGTGCGGTAGTATGTTGATTAGATTCATCAACACGTTTGAAAGGGTCATTATAATTCAACAAAAAAAACTTATTATTTTTTTTTTGAAGTCTTATAAAACGTAGACTTCATTATTATTTTTTCTCAACACAATTTCAACATTTCATTTCACTTTTTTTGAATCAGAGGGAGTGTATTAATGTGAGATATCCTTTTGATCGAAACTGTTCATTAATTGAATGTCTGAATACTAAAATGACTATTCCGCTGATAAGACTCTGGTACTTACAACTATTGTCGATTTATTGAATATAAACTAGACGATGGCAAGAACACCTTCCACAACTGTTCATTCTCTCATTCGTCCTCCGCATTTCCATTTATTTTCATCTAAAATTAATCCACAGGAAAATTCTCAAATTGAATTGCCCGTGGTTAATGATTTATCTAAAAGTAAATGGGATGATCTAACATTTCAATCTCCTAGCATTCTATCAGCTAGAAGTGTATGGATTGAGTCACACTCACATCCTGCTAATGTTTCATCCACCGAAAATGTTCTCGATGAAACTCAGTTGAGCACAAATGCTAATCATTCCTCTCATAATTCATTCGATATGCAACCAAGTCAATCATCTAGTGTTACATTCTTTCAAAGTGTTTGGGATCAAGAACGGTTCGAATCAGTCGATATCAAGCATGCTCCGAAAAGCGTCTGGGATGACAATAAAAACAATGATCATTCTTACTCGTATGGAAGATCAAAAACATCTAATATACCAATTGAAAACAATATTGCATTCAATGAGTCTGTTCAACTTTCTACTAAGTAATTATAACATCTTTCTTCCTTCTTTTACAGATCAAGTTCGGCACGCCTTGATGAAAAATCAGTTAGTAGGAAACGGCGAACAAAGATACTACTATATCTGTTTTGTTTGTTGGCTACTATTTTACTGATCGCTCTAATAGTTGGTATTACTCTTGGTATTCTATTAAATAGACCGACGACCACTAGTAAATATAAAATATCCTCTATCTATTCATATAATCAATTTCTATGTCATTTTTTTAGCTACCACGACGACGAGTGAGAACAATTCTTCGTTTTCTATTTTTCAAAGCATACCCTTTTTGTAATTCTCAAGTAGAACTTTTTGAAAGTGATATTAGCAGCGTAGTTGAGTTTTTCCATCAGATCGATCATACCCTAGTGAATGTACTCATCCAAAGAGTACGACTTGCCAGCATGAGTACTCACATTACTGGATCGAGTACTCTCAAAAATTCATGAGTATGTAAAATGACCGAGTACTCACATACGTACTCAGACGAATCTTTCACTATACATCTATTCATAGGCAAGACCCTGAGTAGTCGTCTTTTTTTCTAAAAAGACTCAATATACAGAATGAAATGTGTTACGACGAAGAAGATATCGTGCGATGACTTTCTATGGACGATAAGTTCACAATTTCAACAAGATAATTTTCGTCTATGACTGTGGCGTTGCAGAGAAGTGGACTTATCCAGAGTCTATGAAGCTCCTCGAAGGGCAACAAATCCGGACTTTAAATAGTATAGTTGCTACTAAGTATAAGAAGTGAATGATTGTAGTACTCAACTAGAATATACTGCCATGAAAGTAAGGATGTGCAGTACTCATATACTCGAAACTCATCGTGAGTACGATCGACGAGCACTCATGAGTACTCGCGGCATTTTCCAGCTTGAGTACTTTTACTAGAGTAATGATACAGAGTTTCATCTACTCAGAAGTCTATATTTTCTGTAAGAGAGAGTACGTGCTATGCAGTGAGTATTAGTAAGCAAAACTCGAATTTGCTGCTCATTGTCTGTACTCGTAAGAGAACAAACAAAAAGATGTAGCCCGTGAGATATTTTAATGAAACGATCTATCTCTATATTGCATTTAAAAATATCTTTGAATAATTTTATGAAGCAAGTACAACAAGCACAACTTCTACAGCAACTACGACGAGTACTACGACCACTACTAGCACTACAAGTACAACTAGCACTACTAGTACTACTAGTACAACTACCACCACCCCTACCACTACAAGTACAACTAGCACTACTAGTACAACTACCACCACCACTACCACTACAAGTACAACTAGCACTACTAGTACGACTACGACCACCACTACCACTACAAGTACAACTAGTACTACTAGTGCGACTACCACTACCGCTACTACCATAACTACAACAAGCATGACAAGTGAGTATAATATCAACTGTACCTGCGTTAAAACTGAGTGAAGTTAAATTTTCTTGGATATATGCTTGCGCGAGAATGATGCACTTTTAGGCTTCGTTACATCAAGCCAGTTCTGTATCAAAATATGAATTTGTATTTAAAAATAAGCAGAATATCTTCGAGAGTTCTTTAATTATTTGATGAATGACTATGATATTCATATCACATGGGTTCTCGCCATTTCGAAAGCATATCTCGCAGAATGCTATGAATTAGAAAGTGTGTAATTGTAGATTATCATACCATTCATATTAATTGGATTTTCTTCAAAGCTTTAAATATGTTCATGTTGTATTAACCATCTGTTTTAGGTACTACAACCACTACCGCAACAACAACGACGACTACAAGTTAGTAGTGATTTTTGTTTTCAATAGATATTGCATGATAGATTTGTGTAATATAGCTACAACGACAATGGTTCCACTAAATCTTCTTGTCAATCCAGGTGCTGAATTATCTGGTCTGGCTGGTTGGACACAAAATGGTGCGTCTGCTGTACTTCAAGACACGGGAGGTCTTTTATACTCCGGCTACAATCCACGCACGGAAAGTGCTTCGTTTGCAGGTGGTTATGGATTGGGTGGATCATCGTCAAGTCTCTTACAGAACGTGAATTTGCTCAACGGAATTGAAAATTATACAGCAGCGCAGCTGGATGCCGGAACTTTACAGGTTGAAGTAGCATTTTACTATCAAACTTATTACGATACTTTCCTTCCGTATGATGATACTGTAGTGACAATTACATTTCGTGCGGCTAACAATACGGTATTAAGCACGCAAACTATCGGAGTTCTTCGTTGCTCGCATGGTAGTTCGAGTTGGTGTTATTCTAAGAACCTTTTTAGTATTCCTGCAGGCACACGAAGCGTTGACTATGTGATGACGTTTACTCGCAACTCCGGTACAAAGATCGGTGCATACATTGATGATGCCTCGCTGAGAGTTGTTTGAAATCACTTTTTATACAGAAAGTTAAGAGCCTACTATCAGAATATACATCATTTATTTTTTTTTTGTCTCTTCTGAATGTCTATGACACTATATTGAGGATTTATTAATATTTTAGATAAGACGAAAGAAAAATAATTTTCAATATGTGTAGCTCATCTATATATCAAATGTGCAAAGAAGCCAACTGAATTTTATTCTAAACGGTGAACTCATGATAGATATAAAACTAAAGTCTATATAGAAAAAAGTGCCATATGAAATCACGTATGGCTCTATTCTATATAATTCAATATATCATGCCCAACAGAAACCACTGGCTTCACTAGTACAATAATAACAAGGGGGTGGGTGTGCGAGTTCATGAAGTGAATAACCACAGTCACATCCATCAATAATTGACATAAGACATTATTTGATAAACAAAATGTGCAGAAAATTGATTAAAATAAATAAAGATTTCATTTGTTGGTTGATTAAATATTATTGATCTTTATATTTGAATGACTTTTAAGATTGATTGAAATTAAGGCTTCTCAGGTAAGTAGTTTAATTCTATCGTTATTTGTAGATGTATAGGCACCAAAATATGATCTTAAGAAGCGAAAAATTACAAAATACTCATTCTTTGTTCGATCTTGTAAGATTATTATAACGAAGTGAGTAATCAAAATGAATCTTCACTAACTTTGCTAATTTCTTAGATAGTTGAATCAAGACGATAAAGCTTATCTATTAGCGACGTTCTCTAGAAAACTGCTGATAGATCTTTCTCTTTCTAATGAATTGATTATTGTTACTATTAACTACTTCACCTGTTATTGTTTGATTCTTGTAATATTTAAATGTATTTCAGATAAATATGCTCGATGTCAGTTCTCAAGAACGAAAACTCAGAAAATAGCCGTTGAAACACGATATAAAAACAGAAGAATGCCATAAGAGACAAAATAGTTTCATTTTTATTTGAATTTTATAAGAAATAGTAATAGTAGAATTTTCGATCTTGACTGTTTGTAACAAGCTGTTGGAAGCGGTCATCATCGGTACATAACCAAAATACATCAAGTAATCTAATTATAATATAATAATCATAATAATTGAGTAACAACATAAACAATACCATAGAACAGAAATCTAATGGAAAAACTCAAGTTGGTTTGGGTGCGGGCGTGG